TTCTTTGTAACGATTTTTATTTATTACACCTGATGACGCTGATCACAATAGATCAGCGAAATATCGAAAAAATATATTAAAAAAAAAACAAATATATATTTTTAAAAAAGTTTATACGCAGCCGTTTTATTGAATTTTACATATTTTATTATTATCGTATAACAAGAAAATGACTTTATTAAAGATTATATATATATATATATATATATATATATATATATATATATATATATATATATATATATATATATATATATATATATATATATATATATATATATATATATATATATATATATATATGATAATTATTATTATTATATATAGTATATATATATTTTAAAAATATGTATATATTTATACTGTTATTAAGTCAGGACTCAAAGAAGGTAAGGATGACACGTTAATCATCACAACCTTTTCCCTTTAGTTACTCATTAAAATAAAAATTCAATAAAACAAAACTTTTATTTTTTATAAACGATGAAATGCTTTTTAGGTCTTTAATATTTTTATTTTGGAAATAATTCCATATTAGTGGACCACGGTTTGTTATTGGAAAACTTGACTGCTGTGATTTAATAACGTACTTGAATGACGGCCAATAAATAACAAAACTGCCCTCATACACAACTATGGGAACAAAATCAATACTTGCTAATAAATGGACTAGACTTTGGAAATTGGGAAGTATCAAAAATGCTTTTTGTAAAAGCTAATAACTTTGACGCGTAAATTTTTGTTAAAGTTGTATTTAACTTAATAGAAACTTAAAACAAATATGGAGAAAATGGTTAAAGCTTTGTTTTAAAATTTGTAAGGTTTCTTTTAATATTTAATCTGACTGATTTAATGTTCAAAAATAGCAGATTAAATTGAAATATTTAATAATCTTAGAGGTTTAACCGTACACTTTATTAAAATGAGAGAAAAGGTTTTGAAGTAAAACCATGTCAACCATAACTTTCCTACTATGTTAGCATAAACATGACAAAAGTTACTTTATTTATACTTATCAAAAATTTGTTTTATTTAGCAAAAAACGATTAGATATAAACTTAGTCAGAAAATTTAGTTTTAAATAAAATAGTTAATTAAATATTTGTCATTGGAATTTTTTCAAAATTTAAATCCCTGCTTTTGAAGTGGAGATTAATATTACATTATATGGTATAAGTATACGATTGAAAAACTGATTTTTAAAATTCAATTAAATAATTTTAAATGATTTATTCAATTAGTTAACTCGTTTTAAAATAATAGTAACAGTGAAATTAAAATACAAAAAAATTTAATAGCATTATACTTTATATTAATATCATGCTTTCTTTAATTGCTTTTTTAAGACTTGAAAAATTGCACATTGGAAGCATAGAATCTTGGGGTTGTGATATCACACCTGAAAACGAGGCTAACAAAATTCTTGAGATGATAAACAGTTTAATTAAACTTTTTGCAACAAACAATATAACCCCAAGTCAATGTAAGATACGTTGACTAACTTTGAGAAAAGAATTGCAAATTAATCCATCAACATTTTTTCTTTGTACATGTAACCAACGCTGGAATATACTCCATGATGATATTGTTACAGTCGCTTATCTTTTATTTTTATTTCAAAAAAAAAATTTAAACACAAGACTTTGAGTCTTTGTTAAAGTCATCCTTTTTGCACGTAGTAACAGACTATATTATTTTTTCCTTTTTGTTTTTGTGATAATTAAGATGCTCTTGGAAATCCGGTCTTATCACAGAAAAATCCGGTCTTATCACAGGAAAAACGGTCTTATCACAGAGTACCGCGAAAGCGTTCAACTAGGAAGTTCACGCGTATGATTGCATTAAGCCACGACCCTATGTTTTTACATTGTAAAAACTTACTTTTATACAGTATAGTTAGTCATAAAAATTTAACAGTTTTCATTTTGTAATGTAAAATTTGAAAATGGCTGTCTACAACAAAATCAAATTTTGAACTTTTTATAGAACATAGTTGTCATAGGACTACTGATAAAACAAAAATAAAAGATACCGATTCAATTCAAAGTCAAAGATACCAGTCAATTTTTGATCAAGTATCGTTCAAGTATAGGGGAGAACGGGGTTAATTGTTTTAAGTTTTTAAGGAACGTTTTAAGGAATGCTTTTTATATTTTATTTATAAATTTTTTTACATTATATAAAAATAATTATAACGCGCCAGCAACGGATGTTTTTTTAACGAACAAATTAGTTTTAGAAAGCAAAAATCTGCTTCTTACTTCTACATCAACAAAAAACACGTTAATGAAAAAACGTTGAATTGAAATACTTTAATTACTTGTTTGGTTTTTTTAATGAAAGTTTATTGATAAGAAATTTTTTTTGTTGCTGTTATTTTAGTTTGATTTTTTTTTGGTCTTACGAATTTTTTTTAAAATTTTTTATTTTAATAAACATTTTTTTTTTTTTTACATTTTAAATTGTTTTTTTTCTAGTAAAATGTTATTGTGTTTTTAAATCCAAAAAAAGAGCAGCCGTAGCGCAGTGGTTCAACTTCGGTAAGGAAGGAGACGTGAACTTATCTTCAAATGGTTCTTCCACGGTACTATGTAAAGAGACCTTCTTACTCTGTAAGAAGTCCTCTGTAAAGAGGACTTCTTGGGCCATCTAAGATAAATAAATAAAAACAGAATATAAATATTTTGAACTTACTAGATTAAATATTTTAGACTTCAATAGTACCTGACTTGTTTAGTAATTATCAGTTTACTATAGTAATTATCAGTAATAGTAATTACCAGTTTACTAAACAAATCAGTTATAGATGAAGTCTCGCATAATAAAAGTATTGCAGCTAAATGAAAGTATAACTTTCCTTTATTGTAATTATAAAATTTTTGTTGCCAAGTAAAAATTACTATACAAATTACAGATTAACGAGTAATTTTTCTGTGAACCCTACAGGGTTTATACTTTCAAAGTATTGTATTGCAACTTACCCCGTTCACTGCTGTAACTTGCCCCAGTGCGGGTAAGTTGCAACATTTTATTTACATTTTTGTTTTATTATTGTGGAACAACTAAGTTTTATATTCTAAATATTAATGTTGGATTAATACGTCAATAAGATCTATTTTTTAATCCAGGACAAAAATTTAAAAAAAATCAGAGTTATAGAAGATAAATTCATCTTTGTAACCATACTACCTGCAGAATCTAAAAACTTGCAAGAGCCTCTGAACAATGGGCAGGTGCCGACGGAGTGACGAAGTCCGCCAAACCCTTGGCATAAAGTTATCTTCAACGTTCCAAGCAAGCAGTAATTGGCAAACATTGACACAACCTTGAGCAGCTATGGAGGTTCCAACAGCATTTACCTCAATTATCTTTATGGCGTCTCAATGGGACTAGTGTCCGAGTAGAGGAGCAGAAACTAACTTATAATTCTCATCGAAGCCCAGTGACACTCGCTAGACCGCTAGCCGCAGATTGCGAGTCTAATTTGCGAAAGCCACCATTTACGTGAACTTGATGAGTATGGCACCCTGCAGCCTAATTCAGAAACTCATTTTAATTTAAGGCACTTTACTTTTCATCCTGACTACCTATTGTGTAAGAATAACCAGATAGGTCGTTTAAGCAGCAGCTCCATGCCTTTTTTGGTGTAGGTAAGGGAACTGAAACTAGACAGATACGAGATATTGAGGTAAACTAACAAGCTTGTTTCCACACATAACCAATTGCACCCGAAGATCATCATTTCAGCTTTAGCAGTTTCAGCCTAATACTGAGCGGAGTCACAATGAGGTATCCGCCGAACCCTAGGCATTAAGTTACCTTCAGCGTCCCAAGCAAGCAGTAATTTGCAAAAACTGACACAACCTTATACGGCTGTAGAGAATCCACAGCATTAACCTCAATGACGTTTTTTAGCGAGACTTAACTCTAAAAACCGTTTTAATTTGAGGCTACCATTGTTGCGTAAGCAAGGGGACCTTCCATCTTTTGGCGCAGGCAAGGGGACTGAAACTTGACAGATATTAAGTTATTTACTCGAACTGTAGGGATTGTTCTTCTGTCCTTCCCTTGCCCATGATTCGCTTTTTAATATTCTCTTAATGCTGCCTCCATTGCCCGGTTGCAACCACAAGGATGTTATTAACAAGTTTGTCTACGCCCATACCACCAAAAAAGTTTTTCCAAGAGCACTTAATTACATCCGAGAATCATCATTTTGGCTTCAGCGGTCTTAGCTTTGCAACCAAACACGTGTCTCCTTACTTCTTAGTAAAGAGACGTGTTCCTTTTCTTGCTCCCCAAAGAAGTTATTCCAGGCCTATATATTAGCTATATTAACTTGAGATTTAGTAATAAAAAACAGTTTTTCATTACGTTTATTATAAATGTTAGTGTATATGGGGTTATGTGTGCTTTGTGAAATTAATAATCATAGGTCTGCAAGTAGTATGCAATTATGGATTAAACACAATGTACACTAAAGTTATTACAAAGATTAGTGTAACAGGGGTGCTGCACTAGTGTGTTTCGTATTCCCTCAATGCCCGCTATTCATGTATAACAACTATAGGTTAAATGAAAAAAAGTTTTAAAAACATTTTTATATTTAAATTATTCATTCCAAGATATGTAACTAATGTGGCAAGATTCAATCTTCTAATGAGATTTAATCTTCAAAGTCTTCCATATAAGTGGTGTAGTGAAGGAGTCAAGTTATTCTTGTTAAAAATTTAACTTAAAATGAATAGGTTGTCCCGTTCTCCTAAAACATCTACACCTGTAATAACATAATTACCTGTAATAACATAATATTACCTATGTAATATTATGTTATTGTATATTATGTAATATTACCTTATCTGTAATAACATAATATTACCCATGTTGCATCAGTATCTGAGACATCGTAATATTTAACTTCCTCAGTAGAAAAAAAAAACGAGGTAAGTTTTTTATGCAATCGTAAAACTTTTTATTATTTTTGAGTAAAAAGATGCAAGTAAAAAATATACCAAAACTTTAAATAAATGTTTTTTACAATTAAATAATTGAGGGAAGAACTAATTGTTGTTTACCTTCATTTAAAAATGTGCAACGATTTGATTTTCGATTGATATAGGTTGTGTTATCAACCCAACCTAAATTAGCATTGCTTTTTTTATAATCTTCAGAAGTTTTTGAAGACATGTTTTTTTCGTTACTTTTACTGTCAGAACATTCTCCATATTCAAATTGATCATTTTCTTTACTCTCACTGCATTGTCTATATTTAAAAGATAAGCAGGACGTTTCACCTGATTTATTTTCTGAAGAATCTTGATATTTCTTTTCAATTTTATAATCATTAACATTTCTATTAAAAGGTTCAATTAAAAAATCTTCCAAACATGGAGTGCTTTTTGATGAACTTTCTGCAATGTTATGGTTTTGATAATTACTTCCGAAGGTAAATGAGCCCGTTTTACCAAGATATTCTATTGAACTTTTTTTAATTAATTTTGGTGAAGTTAATTCTTTGACGGTTTTAAAGACCTTATTATCCACGTTAATAAGTGGAAGATGAATTTCGTTTTCGGATTTAACGTAAAGATGCAACGAAGGCATTGATTTGCACCTCCCTGTGCGTTTAGACATAAAACGTTTATTTCTGCAATCTTCTTTGAAATTCACAAGGTCACAATTTACAGTTTTGAAAACTGAATCTCCCAATGAAAATGGTTTACTCTCATTTTTGCACACAGTACTCTTTAATGCAAAGTTAACTTTACTAGTTTCTTCAAACAGTTTAAATAGTTGAAAACGATAATTCCGGTCTTTAATTTTGCGTTCAAGTTCAATTTTTTGACACTTATCCTGCCCTTCTTTTTCTATAACCTTTAGGCTATACTTTAATGATTTTTCTGCTTTTTTTGACCACATTTCTGGAACATTTATGTGGCGAGGTAAATCTAAAAATAAAAAATTAGTTGTAATAGTATTATAACTTTTATGATACTTAAATTTAAAGTGTTCAGTTAAATATAAACTTACAAAATTTATAAAAGTATTGATATCAACATAAATACAAAAAGTAAAAAACCATAATATATCAGACTAAGAAATTTTTTTAAGTTTTATGTTTTATTGCCATTGCAACTTGTATTTCAAGTATCTATCGTGTATATGGTAAATATTTGAAGTATTTTGTATAAATATCAGACAGTCATTTTATCGTTGACGACAATAGCAAATAACTTAATAAATACTTTATATATCTCAGTACTAACAAATATTATAAACAAATCAATCATATAACAATCGAGCTACAGAATATCCAGGGGTCGTCGTTTAAAATATCATTTCATCATCAAATCAAATAACGTTTTATATTCAGTTACAAAATTTTTATTTTGTTTTTATATTTTCTAAACAAATTAATTTTGAAAAAATCGTTGAAAGCAAAGTTTGAAAACGGTTTTTACAATAATGTAAAAATGACAATTATCAATTTTTAACACGCATTGAACATACGCATAAAGTATACGTATCTAAATAAGATTTGTTTTATTTTCGATGATAAACAGCTTTTAAGTCCTTTTTATACAAACTTCAAAAATGTTTAAAATTTTTTTATTTACCATGAGTAGCTTTAAAAAACCGACTTTGTTGATGACTCCGGCGACCCTAGAAAAAAAAATGCTGCAGAAGTTTTTTTTTTATTTTATTTTTATTTTTTGGATAACATAGTAAAACAGGGTAAAATGTAATAAATAATATAACAAAGTAGTCAAGCTTATTTTTTTGGTCTTAATTGTAAAACTGTTAACATATATTATTCATCATGTAGAAGAAAATCTTTTTCTGAATAAGATTATAAAAAGTTTTAAGAAGACACAAATTTTATTTTTTTTGATACCTTGTTATCTTTGGCTGCGTAACAACTTTTTTTTTTTTTTAAAAAAAAAACAGTACACAACAGTAAACATTTTTTACCCTAAATTAGTTAATTCTAGTAAAAAAAGTTTTGAGTTAAACGGAAATGATGAATTATAGAGTTAAATAAAATATAATAATTGTTAACTTGGTAAATGGGGCCTCTAATAACTAAGTATAAACTGACCACTGAGTTATTTTAGGTATTATATTTCAGTCGTAGGTGCATACGTGACATTGCATGAAAAAAAAACATTTTTTTTTTATTTGCTTAACACCTTATTTATCACACGTTTTGCAGCCACTAGATGTCGGTGTTTATTGTCATGTAAAAAGAATTTTGTACAAACTACTTCAACAGTTGTATGCAGAAACAAAAGTCTAGAAATTTCTTAAAAATATGTTTTAGCTAACTGCAAACAAAATTTTTCAGCTCTAATGAAGTTTTTACACGCACGTAAACAGTCACTGGATTTCAAAATACCTGTTTGTTTCTGCTCGACATTAATAAAAACAATCAGTCAAGTTACATATTTATAATAAGGGGCCATCAATAAAGGATGTCACTATTTTTTAGCCAATTTTTGACCCCCTCCCCCCTTTGTCACCGGTTGTCCTTTTTCCCTATACCCCCCTGGAAAAGGACGTCATAAAATCCTGACATTCCTCCCTATTTTTAACTCCAAAAAAATTTATTTCATCTTGCAATGGTGTTTGAATCTGCTGCTACACCTTTGAAAAATAAAATTAAAAATATTCTCATACATTATCTTCTCAAAAACACATGTTTACGTACTTTTCCATATTAATTTAACTAAAATAAAAATCTATAAAGTGACGTCCTTTTTTTGACAACCTCCCCCCCTTCCCTTGTCCTTTTTTGTCCTTTTTAACTCGACCCCTCCCCCCCTGTTTGGATGACGTCCTTTATTGATGGCCCCTAATATGTAAACAATACCTTTGAAATACCACCATCTAATTGATCATCTCAAACTCCAGAATCTATGCTAGTACTACCACCATTATTAACTTAAATTTGACAATGACCAGCAAATAAATCAGTAAATTCAACAACAAAAATACTAAAGTGAAATAGAAAAGGCAACAAGTTTTATTGCAACAAAAGTGTCGCATAAGTGTCACTCAATTCAACTTTCAGAACCTGTTAATGACTTAACATCATCACAAGAATAAAGTTTTTTACTATTATTGGTTGTTCTTTTTTTAAGTAGTCTCCTTTTAATTACCCATCGATTTTTTGATATTTCATTCTACCAAAATGTGATAATAAAACAAAATTGTCTTTTCTTCCAATTAAATAAAGCTTCTTAAAAAAAAAATTGATTTGATATATTTAAATAAAACTCAAAATTCGCGTAAAAAAATAAGACTTTTTTTCCAGTTAAAAAAAAAAAAATTATCTACTCGGTGTAGTTAAAGCGATTTACAAATTGTTTTATTTAAAATTAGCATTATTTTATAAGCATTTTATGCCCAAAAAAAACTTTGTGTAATAATTTTTTTTTACTTTAGGTTTTTTTAATATTTCAAGATACTTTTCTCTTTTTTATATAATTTTCAAAACCTTTTTTTTACCCGTAATTGTGAATCTAAAGAACACCATTTTGGAGTCTTTAAATCAATTCCGCTCATTAGGGTTAACATGAAATAAGTTAAAATCTTTTAAAAAAAGTTCCATAATTTACTATAGATCCTAGTTCTAATCGGTTCTGATGTATATTAACTGTATATAGTTGTCAATATACAATATTTCTATCAATTTTTACAAAAAATACTAGAATTCCAACCAAGAAAGAGCTTTTAATTAAGAAAAAGCAAATAAACGATCAGAACAGATCATATTATTAAACTGTGATGTTCATTTTAACTAAAAAACATATTTATTTAAAATTTTGTTCAAATTTGGGCAAGCGATTGGGATTTTAATTTTTTTTTGAAAAAAAAAGAATCTATGGTCTGGGTTTTTTCGCAACAAATTTATGATACCGCAAAATTTATCATTTAAATTATTTTCGTCTTTTTATAATTCGCAGACCTGATCATTTAACGGAAATATGTAATAGTCAACAAAAAATCATACAGGCGCTATAATATTTTCAAACTGCCGAGTAGAAGATATTTCCGTAAAATATCTGGTCTGCAAGATAAACGATTGGATTATTTTAAGAAAAAACACCAAAAATCATGTGGGAGACTAGGGGTTATCCATATAGGACGTCACGCTAAGTTTAACTAATGGCAAGAAGTAGGAGAATGTTGGCTTTCGTGCGCAGAGATTTTTAGAGTATTATTGTGCCTTATGTTCAATGAAAATCTCGCGAATAAACTTTAGTCTTTAAATTCCGTTAGTCTTTAAATTCTGAATGACGTCTTTTATGGACGACCCCCTAAAAGTAATCTATATAATATATAGAGGAAAGCGGGGCAACATGGCGAATGGGGCAAGATGGGTTTTCATATAACAACTTAACAAAAAATTTAAAAATTGGGTGAAAACGAAACTGTATTTACATCTTGTATTTTAAAACACCAATTGGTTTTTTGAAATATTATTAACGCCATTTTATACAAATAAGTTTACTTTTTTGCGCTTAAAAAAAAATTCCTCACTTTCGGTTTCTCATAATGGTTGGTGTCCTTCAAATTTAACTTCTTTAGAAGTAGTTTTTGCAATTTGTGTTTATTTTTTGTTACTTTAATTAGAGTTATTGGCAGTTTTTAAAATTTTATAAAATTGGAGGTAAAAATTGCATAATAAGTCATCTTGCCCCGGTCACGTGACCAGATGACAAATTTATGAACTTTTTATTTTAAGATTTATTTCAAATTGTTATATTTGCAAACTGAAAATTTATGCATGCAATGAAAGAACTTAATAGCATAAGCATACTGAGAAAGTATTATGGCTTCACGACTTATAGTTTTTCAATAACTCAGGGCTTTCAAAACGTTCGCCATGTTGTCCCGCTTTCCTCTAATGTAATATGTAATATACTCTTTAAAGTTTTATGTTACATAATTTATTATAATACAATTGCGATATATTGTGGTAGCTTTAATTTTCAGACTTGTAAGTTCTTGAATGCTATGTTTAAATGGGGACTTTTTTAAACCGAGGAGAGGTAATTGAATATTCCTCAAGGAGAAGCTACTTCTAGCATATAAACATTAACTTATTTAGTGGTTTTTATTAACTTATTGGTGGTTTTTTTTAAAATCAACTTAATAAGCGGCTTGTTAAGTTAAATTATAAAACTTATTAAGTACTTATTGAGAATTATAATTTTAAATGCCAAAAACAAGTTTTTTATGAAATCTTTAGACTCAAACACTTAGTAAAAGTCCCAGCTCTTTTAATTTATAATCGTGTTCAAATTAAGATCGTTTTTTATTTTATTTAAAACAATATGAAGTAAAACAACTGAGCAAAATCCTAAAGAAGTTCAAAAAAGGAGATTATAAGTCTTAAATTTTGTTTAAACAAAAAAAACTTTAAGAAATTTTTTAAAACACAAGCAGAAGAAGTTATATAAAACAAAAATAAATTTTCATTTATTTCATTTAAAACCTAAGTTATAGGTTGTCAAAGAATAAATTTTTATAAAAAGTTTTGATTTAAGTTACTAATTGATCTTAATTATATTGAGCACGTATAATTTACTTCTGTCAAATTAAATTTACCCGTTTGAAGTTATTTAATCGACGCAATTAAATATTATTTGAAGTAAGACAATCTTAAGATATTATGATCCACCATATCACAGTGATCCACCATATCACAGTGATCCACCATATCACAGTGATCCACCATATCACAGTGATCCACCATATCACAGTGGCTCAAAAGTGACATTTTCTAGCCAAAACCTCTAAAACCAAAATTTTTTTTTTTTTATTTAGAAACAGTTTATTATATTTGAAAAAATAACATTTTTTTTTTAAAAAACTTCAAATTTTATTACATAAATACGCAAATTATTAAAAAACTCATTTATTTTCCATTTATAAAAAATTCTGTTTTTACCCAACAAATTTAACAACAAGGATAATATTTAAATTTATGTTTTACGCAGAGTATTCTATCGTTGGCTCTTGCAATAGTTCAAGTACACCAGATAGTAGACTTTTTTTTTTATTTATTTATCTTTTTTCTTAATGTGCAAATTAAAGGATCAGATGCACATAAAAGGCGATGAAAAAGGTCTATATTGTTTTTTTTCCGATCGCATTTTCTTGTAAAATTTTCACAAAAAATC